CCCCCAAATCTCCGGGCAGGAGGTTCCCAGTCTGGAGCTGGCAAGCCTACCCCCCCATCCCCCACTGGTGGCCTGGAGGGCTCTGGGGATCTCCCTGGAATTGCAGCTCATCTCCAGACTGCAGTTCCCCTGGAGGAAATGGATGCTTTGGAGGGTGGTGGACTCTCTGGCATTGCGCCCCACTGAGGTCCCCCTCCTCCACAGGCTCCATCCCTAATCTCCCAAGAGTTTCCCAACCTGTATCTGGCAACTCTAGGCTTCCTGTTTAATCTTCATTTATCATTTAGATAGCCTCTGTTCTCCAGTACTTAAGCCCCGCCCCCCATTTGAGCCACTCCTGTTTCTCAACCTGGGCCACTTTTGCTGCGGTTTAAACTTTTAGGAAGTGGGTTGGGGCACTTGCCAGCAGGGCTTCTGATTGGCCACTGGGGATCCAATGGGCAGGGCAGATTAAAAGGATATGATGTCAGTGGCAGCTGCCACTATACCGTGCTGGTTTTATTCTCTCTGGCTCGTCTTTCCCATTGTATTTTATAAATTACCTCTTTTCTCCCCTGCACTTGGGCTGCTTCTGTGTGTGTGTGTGGCCTTGGCCTTCCGCAGCAGTCCTCCTGTTGTGGGTTCACATTTCATGCTTGTGCCCACCACCACCACCAGTCAGGATTCCAGAGGTGCCCACAGGCTCAAAAAGGTTGGGAACCCCTGTGACTTATTTCCATTCAGGTCCCAACTGATGTATATCAATAATTGTGATTATATTCTTTAATAAACACAAATCCATCCTTTTGAATCATGTTCCCTTTCAGAATGAAACATGACTGAGGACCCACAGAGAAATTTCCGATCTGTATATTATGAAAAAGTGGGCTTTCGTGGTGTGGAAGAAAAGAAGTCACTGGAAATCCTTCTGAAAGATGATCGATTGGGTGTGTATTGTGTGTGTGTGTGTGTAAGTACCAGGGAGAGGGGAGGTGGGTACCTGCCACCGACAGGGTAGCATTTTGGATATTGTTCAGTCACACAGTCAAGTCCGACTCTTCGCGACCCCATGGACCACATCACGCCAGCCCCTCCTGTCTTCCGCCGTCCTCTGAAGTTGGCTCAATTTCATGTTCGTTGCATCGATGACACTGTCTAACCATCTCATCCTTTGCCGTCCCCGTCTTCTTTGACCTTCAATCTTTCCCAGCATCAGGGTCTTCTCCAGTGAGTGCTCCCTTCTCATTTGGTGGCCAAAGTATTTGAGCTTCAGTTTCATTATCTGGCCTTCCAGGGAACAGTCAGGGTTGATTTCTTTGAGGATTGACTGATTTGATCTCCTTGCAGTCCAAGGAACTCTCAAGAGTCTTCTCCAGCACCATAGTTCAAAAGAATCTATTCTTCGGCGCTCGGCCTTCCTTATAGTCCAACTCTCGCAGCCATACATGACTACTGGGAATACCATTGCTTGGACCATGCAGACTTTTGTTGGCAGGGTGATGTCTCTACTTTTTATCATGCTGTTGAGGTTCGCCATCGCTTTCC